TCTCAATGTTCTGCTGAAGAGCAAAAATCTGGTTTGCTCATCCCCTGCCTGGTATGAAATATTCTACTTCTCAAATGTTGCTCATTGTCACCTTGAGTATTCTTTCAGTCAAAATTTTGGCAAACAGTTACAGCATCACCTGGGTAAAGGTACGCCTTACAGCACAAATATCTTCCGTATCGAGCCTGCCTAATGCATATCTCTGAAAATGTCAAGGATATGTGCCCCTTCCCAGGATGAAGGATCATTTCATGTCCCCGTCAGAGTCTGAATCTGCAGGGGAAGAAGAGCTGGAACTTTCCTCTGTTATTCTCTGGTTCCTTACAGATATATCATCCTCTTATTCATATGGCAACCGAGAACATTTGAAGTTAAGGAGTTCCCAATCAAGAAGAAAAAAAATACAAATGCAGACTGTCCCACTATAGTTATTGTTGATAGTGATCAATACTTTCACAGGTACAGATGGCCAATGCAGCATTATGTCTGCTTTGCTGTTAAGACAGGAAGGGCACAATATATATATATAATCTACAAAAGGAATGTCTAACAAGCCAGTTGCAGAAGAATGCTTTGCATAAATTTTGTGTGCAAAGCACTCCTTCAAAGCTTTGTGTTGCCCTCATATATCGCATTCCTCTCTCCATGTCATCTGCCCCATAGAACACCAGTCCTGTGACCAGGCTAAGAGTAAAGACTGACTCACCGGGTGAACAACCATGCCCTTCCAATTATAGTCTAAAACCTTCATCGCATGCTGGATCTTATTCAGCTATTTCTTAGAGAAAGAGCTACAGTCTTAGGTCCTCAATTATAGGGTTCAACTGCATGCATTGTTTATAATGCACAAATAATTACTTATACATCATCAGAGAGAATGGAAATTTGCATAAAATATGGTTATGTTCTTTTAATTTGGGAGAGAGCAGGATAAATATTAATTTGGAAACAATTTAATTTAAATTGAAATATAATAATCTCATGATAATAAGAATTCTGTTCACAGGGAAGTTGTGTATCTACTCAGTGTGCTATCCAGGCACAAACTATTGATAAGGAACTTCATGAAAACCAGCTATTTTATATGTTTTCTCAGCCTCAAACCTGGCCTGGGAAGTTCTTCAAATACCAGATGCTATCAAATACATGTAAGATCCCTAACAGGTAGAACTCATGGCCAACCTGTATTAAATACATGGAGACTACAGGTGAGATCATCCTGTGCAATTTCACTTCACTGCTGTTTTCATTCAGTTATTTGTAATTTAGTTATAATGCAACAGCAAGTTTACAGTTGTTTGGAAAAAGATGAACTAGCTTTTCCAACACCAGTGTTGAAAGACAAGAACATCAACAACTTGTATTAAGTTGATGAGATTTCTCTGATAGCTGAAGTTGCAAATGTTAGTCTGCAAGTTAACTTATTAACTGCAAGTTAATAAAAGTTAAGAAGCACTGTGAAAAAAAAGGAACTAAGATTAAAGATAAAGAAGAACAAACTAATGGTATTGGGTACAGTAAAACTTAGGCTTGACAATAAAGATATTGAATTGATTGATAGCTTCTGTCTTAGGATTTACCATCAGTAATAAAAGAACCAGCAATTGAGAAATATGTCACAAACTAGCACTATGTAGGTAGCAAGGAAGGCCTTAGAAAAGTTCTTTAGTATGTTTATACCTACAAAGTTCAGAATCATGTATTTAATATTTTTGTGACACTTTATGGAGATGAAGATTGGACTTTGAGCAAGTAGCATACAAGGAATGTTTCTTCTTTTGAATGTTGGTTTTGGAGAAGATTCCTAAGAATACTAGAGATAAATAAGAAAACGAACAAATGGATAGTGAAACAAATCAATCCAGAGGTTTGGGAAACATGGAAGGAAAGGAAAGAAAGAAATGAGCCAAGTAGGTTGATTTGATTACACTGGTGATAGATATACTACTGGAAAACCTAAACCTAAAAACTAAGTCTGGACAGATCATCCTGGAGAAGGTCTACCTATGGTAAGAGTTGACACTGACACATAATCAAACAATCAATCAATGAACAGCAAATGAAGTCTTTAAAGCATTTATGGATGTTATCTCTGTAGATCTATTACTGTAGACTTAATAGACAACACACCCACATGCATACACACACACACAGAGGATCACAAGCAACCACAATTACTGTTTCTTTGAAAATTCATTTAGCAACAGTAGAAGTAGCATTTTACCCTTGATAATAAATTTAAGAAAATAGTTGAGGGTTACCACCAGGGAATCAATTGTTTGGATTATAAGGATCTTCTACATGAAGAATATCTCAATGACACACTAAACTAATCTAACTATGCAAGATCTTTGTTACATATCAGAATATTTCTACATTATTTGGTTTGGACAAGAATAGCTGTCTCCAGATAATTTCAGCAAACAGTTTAATCGTATGTCCAGGTATCTGAAAATGCTTTTAATCTTTTCAATTCCTTGCTTGTAAATCAGAATATCATGGGATGTTTTGCCATTTTTTTGTTGAAATCATGCTATATCTACTACACAATTTGCCAAAGAAGTTACTAGTTCAAAATGGATACATTAGAATAGACTTGTTCTTGATCAATCCATGTTGACTTGTATTTATTACGGCATTATTTTTAAGACTTTTAATGGTCTAATATCTTTTAATGGTCTAATCTCAATCTGCCCAGATTCACTTGTGCTTTGATCATAGGATCTTCATTTCTAAATGGATCTACTTTCAGAGGTTTGCTATACATAGGTCTGTTTCATCATTGTGTCTCTAGGAAGCCACACTACAAAGCAAAACGGATTGTCCAGTATATTGATGAAGTGTAAAAACTCTCCTATCTGAAAGAACTTGCCCAAAATTCTATAGAAAAGAATGCATGCATAGGATTGCTAAAGAAGAGCTGGACATCAGTTGCTATAAACTCAGTACCAATAGTGTACTTTTGATTATCAGTTGCTATTGTCCTCATAACCTGCGTACCTCACGGGTATCTGCTTGAGTACTGTAAAAACAGAATGATATGTTAAATAGGTTTTAAACACTCCTTCAGCAAAGAGGTTTTTTTTGACGTTCATTGATACATTAATGCAGAAATGGAAATTTAGAAAAATTGTATAGATATGTACCACTATACATGAGTTAAGACTGAGATGCTGCTAAATGACTTCCCATGTCAAAATTATTCTGTCGTTAAATATTACCATGCTGTCCAGTTAAAATGCTGTTTACTAGATTTTGAACCCTCACTACTCCCAATTTTGCCTCTGTACATACTGTTCCGGGTTGCCACTAAAAAATGGTGTCTTCAATTTTACGGAACAATAGTTAAAGAAATGGACTGCTGGATTCCCCTGGCTTTATTTCCTATCCTTCCTGCCAAGCACCATGAATCATAATCTTTACAAAGGCTAAGGCTGTGCTGGGAAGTAATTGAGGTTTGACAGATAGCTTGAATGGCAGGGTTTAACCATCTGTCAAAATTCACTTTGGCATGCAAGTGTTTTGAGTTGGTGCATTGGAAATGAGTTTGGCTAACTGCTGAGCAATTATCTCCCATTGCTGCTGTCAGTTAGCTAGTATCAGGTTTATTTTGAAGCTAAGGTAGGTTATGTGCCACAGAGCATTAAATGTGTGCTCAAAATAAACCTGATTCACAGCAGATCATCGCTGTGGATGACTAAGCAGAAACAAAGCTGGTTTCACTTCTCAGGCTTCTCCCTTTGATGAACCCTCTTTCAAAGCCAAGACTTCTGGTTCAGTTTGGGGAGAGTGCGGTTTGAAAGAATCACACAATTCTTCTTCCACAATCAAAAAGTCCTTGGAGATTAGTATCCAGGGACTGGCAGGAGAATAGTATGAGCCTATCAACCTAGAATGATCAATAGGTGCTTAGGAACTTCACCTGCCAAGTGTAGATCCATCTTCTAGGAGTTACTTGGCTTCACCACCCTTTGAATGACCAATGAAGTGTCTTAGCTTGTATCTGCAGTAAAATTATTATGTTTCCTGCTGCAGAGGAAAATAATATTTTAAGAGCAGAAAAGCTAAGTCTGAGTTAATGCTGCCTGTGGTGATGGGTTGGAGATAAGAAAAAAACAGCATCATGGGAGAGGGCAGAGTAAAGACTTGAAATACCTGATTGTAAATGTATTAACAGCGGCTAGGATTGTATTTGCTAAAAACTGGAAAATTGAGAAAATACCATCACAGGAGGAAATCATTAAGAAAATATTGGAATGTGCTGAAATGAGTAGATTGACATTTGAAATTAGAGAACAAGAGGATAAATAATTTTATAAAATTTGGGATCCTTTCTATCAATGGTTAGACAATAAAATACAGTAATGAAATATGTAGACTTTTAGAAAATAAATATATAAAGATGTACTTCTTTCTTATTATATCTACAAAATGATTTTAGGATAGATTTGGGATGATAATATGAACTGTTATAAAATAAACTAAGTAAATTATGATTATCTTGTAAAACATGAATGAATAAAAGTATAGTCAAATGATTGATTAATAATGATACTAAAGTATTTAATTTTTGATTGAAAATATGAGATTATATGCAATGTAATTGTAACTGAAGACTACGAAATGGAAGCACAAAACAATTTGTAAATCAGCCGGCACACTGTATGTACACATATGGAAGATAGCTTGATGTTTTTATGTTTTGTTTGTTTATATTTGTTTTTAAAAACCAATAAAAAATTTTAAAAAACAGCATCATGGGGATATATCAGAACAAGGATTGTTGAGGAATATTTCTTCATGATTAAATTTAAAGGTCTTTGTTTTGATTTATTGCACATCCTGATGTTTTGCATTATCAGTGGCAGCTAAGCTTCATCTGCAAAGCCTTGGAGAAGATACGGATCCTTATAAAACATCCTTTTTTATATATTACAGATCTGATGCCATTGAAGAGACTAGACACTTGTCTTTCAACAGTTTTTAATTACTGAAGAGAAATGATTGAAGAAAACCACACAAAGATGGCTGAATTTATTTTGGTAGGTTTAGTGGATAGTCCAAAGATGGAGCTGCTGTCTTTTATTGTGATACTAATTATCTATTTAATTACACTGACTGGCAATCTGGGGATGATCATATTAATCAGAATAAGCTCTCAGCTTCAGAGCCCTATGTATTTCTTCCTCAGTCATTTGTCTTTCTTAGATTTTGGGTATTCTTCAGCCATTGCCCCCAAAATGTTAGCAAACATACTGGCAGACGAGAAAAGCATTTCATATGCTAATTGTGCTGCACAGATGTATTTTTTCATTTTCTGTGCAAGTACTGAGTGTATCCTCTTGGCAGTGATGGCGTATGATCGTTACGTGGCTATCTGTAATCCTCTCCTCTATGTGGTTACCATGTCCCCCAAAGTGTGTACTGTGATGGTGGCTGGATCTTACCTCATTGGCTTGGTGAATGCAGTGACACAAACAGCTTCTACCTTTCAGCTCTCTTTTTGTGACTCCCATGTCATCAACCATTTTTTCTGTGATGTTCCCCCTTTGCTGTCTCTTTCTTGTACTGACACAAGCATCAACGAAATGGTGCTCTTTGTTTTTGCAACAATCCTGGGAATATTTACTTCAACAGAAATTATGGTGTCGTATGCATTCATCTTGACAGCAATCCTACGGATTAATTCATCTGAGGGGAAACAAAAGGCTTTTTCAACATGCGCCTCCCACCTGGCAGCTGTAACCATCTTCTATGGAACAACGGTCTTTATGTACCTGCGCCCAAGTTCCAACTATGTTCTGGATCAGGATAAATGGGCTTCCGTCTTCTATACCATAATGATTCCAATGCTGAATCCTTTGATCTATAGCCTGAGGAACAAGGAAGTCAAAAATGCCTTGAGAAGGAGGCAGGCACTGGAGATGGCTTTCTTAAAGGGCATGAGATGTTTATGAAAGCAGACAAACTGAAGCATTTTATCTAAATGTATGATCTAATGTGCTGCTCTGTTTAAAATTGGAAGGAAGAAAATTTATCTATATGGAAGGTATTCCTCAAAGCAGGAAACTAACCTGAGCAGGCTTTTTATTTTAATCAAAAAATAAAAATAAAAATTGAGGAAGTAAGGGAAAAAGATGTAGCCTTTTCTAGCTCTACATTCTACCAGTATAACCAAGAATGTATGCATCTAGACAGAGGGGCAAAGGCAGGAAAAAAGACTCGGAGATTATCAACCTCATGAACAAAAAGCAGAGAGAATAAAAGTCAAGTTCAGAACAAATCCCTAACTAACTATACCCTATCTCCTGCCTTTCATAGTTTCCTATGCTAATGCACAACTCCCATAATCTCTTGAAGAACACACTGTCAATCTGTAGGCAAAGGCTTCTTCTATGTAGCTTTTCTTCTATGGGTAGTATCTGTTTAACAAATCCCTTTTCTTAAAGCATCTATCACATAGTCATACTTAATATAGGTGCATTTAACTTAGGTTTAGTATTCTCATTCGGGAGATTTGATTAGTCATTGATGGATCTCAAACAAGAGTGTTGGGTTTGGCTCTTCTTTCCTACATTTATTGAGAGGCATTCTCTGCTTTTTGCTTGTCCAGTTCATTGCTCTACTTCCAGGTAGGCACAGCTGTCTACAAGTAGAATGACATCTTTTGCTCAGTCTATCTCAGGGGTCAGCAACTCGCAGCTCTGGAGCCACGTGTGGCTCTTTCATCCCTTTGCTGGAGCTCCCTGTCTCTCAAAATATGCATCACAACTGTCAATGTGTGACACCCACTGGCACACTAATTACTGAGCTTTTCAACCCCCGGTAGGTTAACCATGGATAAAACCAAGAAAAGAAAAGTTTCAGAAGAAAACAAAATCTTTAATTCAACTATATATGCTGTTTTACAGATAACAGATAATCAGAATTGGAAGGGACGTTGTAGGTCATCTAGTCCAACCCCCTGCCCAAGTAGGAGACCCACACCATTTCTGACAGATGGGAGTCCAATCTCTTCTTGAAACTCTCAAGTGATGGCATTCCCACAACTTCTGAGGACAAGCTGTTCCAAGGGCAAGCTGGTTGATTTTTCTCACTGCAAGAAAGTTTCTCCTTATTTCCAGGTTGAATCTGTTCTTGTTCAGTTTCCATCCATTATTCCTTGTCTGGCCTTTAGATGCTTCGGAAAATAGCTTGACCCCTCCCTCTCTGTGGCAGCCCCTCAAATATTGAAACACTGCTATCATGTCTTTTGTGGCTGCTCAGGAAATAGTCAGGCATGGGAAGGGTTTTGTGGCTCCCGGTGTTTTCTTTTCTGCGGGAAACAGGTCCAAATGGCGTTTTGAGTGTTTAAGGTCTCCAACCCCTGGTCTATCCCCATGGAGTCAAGAAATGAATACTTATATTTCTGAAAACAAAAACAGAATGATGTAGCTCTGAAGTTAGCAAGCAGAATGAAAGGAAAGAGGAAACCCTCAACTTTCTATGTATGTCTCACTACTCCCTATAGGCAGCTTCTCAATTCCATTGAAATCACGTTTACAAGACTTAATTAATTGTAAATTGAAATGAAATGATATCAAATGAATTTGCTTGAATTTGAAACTGCACCAAAACCATATGACTGAATAAATTAGGCTGTTTTTTTATTATATATTAGAGAGTGGAAAAAGTTATGATTTTGTTTTGAAACCACCTCTTTCCAAAATCTGTCCTTATGCAGAATGGGGAAAAAGATAGTTATTTTGCATATTCTGTTTAATGGATTGAATTTAGTTTCTTGAATGGAGACTTCATTGGCAAATAAGATTATAATATGTATTAACTTCCTTTACCGCCCAGATTCATTTTTGGTGAGATGGGCAGCTATAAACATCTGATAAACAAACAAATAAATAAATCTTTGTGCTAGAATTAAAAAATAATTGGCTATTAATCATATTCACTTGCTAATGGAGAACTATATATCAACTTCATGGTTTTAATAATGGGACAACAGAACATATTGGGTGGAATATTATCTATTGCTCTGGATTTGATGAACTCTGAACAGGAACTTATTTAAGGAACAGCGATGTTCTTTTTCTTGTTCTCAGTGAAGTCTAAAGTGTTTCTCAAAAACGGGTTTTTCAGAGGTCAGGATGGTGGAATTTGATTCATGTTGGGGGTATTTCAGAGAAATTATCAACTCCCTTAGCTCAATTATAAACCTATTTCCATTAATTAAGGGCACTGTTTGATTCAAGCCTACATCTTTTGTTACAAAGAACAATATGGTAATGTTCATCCATTGCAGCAGAAGACATACGCAAAGATGTATGTTTCATAGGAAAAATGACAAGTTACCATTGTAAAATGCAGCTGTTAGAATTAGAATTAATTAGAATTAAAATGCAGCTGTTAGAATTAGCTGTTAAAGATATATTCAGCTTTTTTAAAAAAGCTTCCCTTCTAAGACATATTAAATTTTAAGTGGCTAAGAATTAAGTTATAAATAATTCTGTGATGCCAAAATTGCCTTTCCTTCTTCTTTTACTGAAACCCAAGTCTACTACAGAACAAAGCAAGCAATTTTATAATCAATTTTATTATTATTTAAAGAAGCTGGCATAAAATATACATGAATCGTTAATCACACAAACTCAAGATAATGGTAAAAATGATTGTTTACCCATCTATCAAAGCAAACAGACGAGAGAATTAAGGACCAAGTCTGAAATGGAGTTCAAGAGGTTGAGGGGTGGGGTGGCCAGTGATTATGATTGTTTATATTCATCCAGTAATTTACATTTCTTGATTGGTGGTCAATGTAGCAAAATATTAAAATATTCACAATTTTAATTCTTGATAATATTTCCAGAATATCAAAAGTCCAGTGTTACAGCTAATTTTTCCAAGAATCTTAGTCTTTTGACAAATATGTCACTTCATCCATACGATTGGTTCTATTTACTATTTCCCAAAACAAATTATGTTTCTTTGTGGAATTCTTGCTTGTCATTCTTTCTTGGAATGTTGTTATGATTTTAGTTATGAATGTGTCTCAACCTTGTCCATTTTAAGATGCATAGATTTCAACTCCCAAAATTTTGCAGCTGAAACATTGGGTGACTACAGGGGCAAAAATATCTTCATCTCCTAAAGAGATTAAAAGAGAGGAATTCCTATTCTGTACCAATCAGAGAGAATATTTGTAGCTCAGGCTTGAATTGTAGAATCCTTGGTGCCCTCTGGTTGTTTTCTTGTAGATGTTTACCATTTAGGTAATATCAAGAATTCCATAATCCTATTCTGTGTTTAAAAGAATGGGAGAACATTCTTCTCCTGGTTATTTCATTTGAGCTACTGGAAAGCAACAAAAAGCCATCAAGCTATCATTTCCATTATAGACTGGGAAGCTTAAGAACTAGAAAGCAGAAGGCCAAAAGATCTGCCCAATAAGGAAATGGAGAAGAAAGAAAGAAAGAAAGAAAGAAAGAAAGAAAGAAAGAAAGAAAGAAAGAAAGAAAGAAAGAAAGAAAGAAAGAAA